GAAGTCCATTCTCTGGAGACACTAACAATTTAAAACAAAAACTGGAGCTCGATGGAAGTGGGTATAGCTGGCTAACAGCTTTATGGCTAGTGTCCAATCTTCTGTAGGCACAATATAACCAGAATTGTTTCACAATTAATCCTAGGTCCCCTAGTGAATGATAAAAGAAAGACAGATTTATCAGTTCTCTTCCATGAATATGCCATAAAGAGCCCAGGCCCTGACAGATTCAGCTTTCTACAAAACATTTCAGGGAACGCCTCTCCTTGAGCCTCAAAAATACCTTTAATGCCATTACTGAAACATGTAATTTTCCAAAACAGGCTTAAAAAGCTCACAAAACACAGCAAGGATACTTTGCTGTGTACCAGCTATCGCCTGATCTCTCAGATTAACAAAGACCTTGAAACTATTTGCTAAACTTACCTCTAATAAGATGCAACCCTACATCCCATTCCTGATCCATATTGAAAAATTAGGCTTGATCCCTTTTTGAAAGTCATGCAATAATACAATTCAAACCATCTCCCTTATGGACTCCCACATTTACAGCAGATTGGCATTCCCATTCCCCCACTTCAGCAGATTGGAATTAACAGATTAGTGTCTGACCTGGTCACCATCAACCATTGGACACAACGGGGATATCCACTCTACCCATACCTCTATATCTTTGCATGGAACATTTTGCAGGGTAGATTCGAGTAAATCCCACAAGCAAGGGCCTCTTGGATGGAGACCAACACCATATCACCGCATGGTTTACAGGAAGGCTGCTGAGGTCCCCAGCAAGCGCAGGACCTCAGGCAGCCGCTTGTTTAAAATTTTAGTGTGGTGTTCTGTGGAGAACGCTGACCCAGTATCTGCGCTTGCGTGCAGATGGGATTACCGAGGAAACCGAGCACAGCCCCCCCCTTCCCACTCCAGACTTACCTTCCTTCTTCAGGAGGGCCCTCTCTCTTCCTCGTCTCCCTGGTCATGGGGCTGGGCTAAGAGGGTCGGGTCCTCACACAGCAGAATGTGCTGCCCGGCGGTGCCTGCAGTATATTCTGCTGGTGACAGCCTCTCCCATCCCTGCCGCACAGCTGCCCTGCCAGTGTCTTTATGGCTGATGACATTCTGCTATATATTTCTAACCCTACACTGGCGTGTCTCTCCATCCTATAAAAGTTTCAAATGTTTGACCAACTGAGCAACTTCAAAGTGAGCACTAATAAATCCAATGTGACCCTCCCTGCTACGACAATTCCTTACTACCTTCCTCTTCCGGTGGACCACTGGGAGCAACTAAATACTTGGGAATTATTATATCAGCAAATCTCACTACATTTTACAGATTTCATTACCTTGCCCGTGTTGCAGAATGCTCTACGTAGACTTGGGGAATGGTGTTTGAAAGCAACATTCTTTGTTTGGCCGTATCGCCCTATTTGAAATAGTTCTGTTACCACATTTCTTGAATGTTTTTCGAGCCCTCTTCCAATACAATCCCCTAAATCAGGAGTATCCAAATTTCAGCCCTCCCAACTGTTGTGGAAATACAAGTCCCATACAGCATTTGGCTATCCCTGCCCTAAATCCTTGTAATGACTTGATAGATCTTGGCCACCACCAGGACTGAGCAACTTATCCTGCCCCACACCTACCCTGCCTCATTACGTTGTTTTCCTGAAGATCCTTCTCTCCTATGTTTTTCCACTTGCTATGTGGGGCGAACAGGTAATAGAAAACTTCAGAGGTCTACATTCCTATACCACAGTAGCCCTACATTACACAAACCAGTTTATGTGAGTAACTGGCAAGTAATGGACACACAATGGTCTTTCTGAATTGTTTGGCTTAATACACAGCAATACATGTATAAGATCCTATGATGTGCAATATCTACAACAGTAACTGACTTTGTAAAACTCACAAATAATAATAATAATAAAAAAAAAAAGGATTGTATACAATACAAAAAATAAACTGATTTTTAGGGTTTTTTTGTATACAATCCTCTTTTTTAATTGTAAAGGTTTATGAGAAAACAGAAAATATTTAAACAGTAAAGGTTTATGGGAGAAACAGTATACTTAAACAACATTGTCATTTCCCTTTTAAAATGGGTTAAAATGCTTTGCACATTTTTGATGAAGCTCATTCAGCAATTACAGTAGACTAGCATTTAGAAGCCAAGGTATTACAATCAGGGCTGTCTTTAATGTTGATTGGACTGGACTGGGGCAAACATTTTCTTGGGCCCCCTGCCACACCCTGCCCCCAACATACAATATTGCCCGCTATATGCTGACAGTGCAGAGCTGAGTTGCAGCTGGGAAAGAGCCCGACAATATTGTCAAGATCCACCCACGCTGCCTGATTGACAGCTGTGCCCTCCCCTGTTTGCCCTTTCAGTGAGCACTGGAGGGGGGGGAATGACTGTGACTGATAGTCACCGCTCTCTTCAGGTAAATGATAGGGAACTCCGCCATCAGAGGTCTGTGATCTCTCAGTTCTCAATGTATAGTGTCTCACGCTGGCTCTGACTATGGGGATGTAAATGTAATTCCCTCTCCCAATAGTTCTCCTTTTAGGGTAAATGTGTGGATAACCTGTCACCTACCACTTCCACTGCATAGAATAACATCAATAATAATAATGACAACTGAGCACGTCCCCTGGTGTAACATACCAGAAGTCTCTGACCACCTCCTGTAACATGTCAGCAGTCTCTGATCATCTTCTGTAACATGCCAGCAGTCTCTGATCATCTCATGTAACATGTCAGCAGTCTCTAATCATCACCTGTAACGATTTAGCAGTCTCTGATCATGACATGTCAGCAGCCTCTGAGATTACAGTCACTAAATATTATATGTGGCCCTTTAATGGCTTCAGGGGCCACATGTGAGACCCCCTGTATAAGAATGTTTTACCTCCAGTAGCTTATGCTATCCAAAAATTGGAGATCACAGTTCTAGCTTCGCCCTCATCAGGAAATTGGGTTAAAAGGATTGATGTCTATACACAGCTCCGACCCCCCATGTACTATGATCCTCCCCCCATGTAATCTCAGTGGGGGGGCACAGATCATCAACTGGCCTTGGAGGACTCCATGTCTATACAATGACTCACCAGCTGGGACACTCTGAAGACAGCTGTATCTTGCTCCAGTCAGGTTGGTCTTTGTTGCTGGGCTCTGTAGTTCTCTGGTGAGCTGCATCCTCCCCATGAAGAGAGAGAGATCTGATCTCATAAGTCTGCTCCGAGTGCTGCCTGTGATCTCTGCACCGTCTTCTCCTTATCAGTGGAAAGTGAAACTGAAAGCAAGGTGGGCAGCTGACAGGTGCTCCTCAGGCTGTTCTGACCGCTTCACTCGTTCAGTCCCTGGAAAGTGCTCCCCTGCCTCCCAGTTATGCCACTGACTGGCACTGCCGCTGGGCGAGACTGCGCCCGGCCACAGTGCACCCTAGGCAGCTGTCTTGTTTCTTTAGCGACAGCACCGACCCTGACAGATCCCCACAGCAAAGACTGGGCCCGGGGCAGCTGCCACTTTTGCCCCGCCTTAAAGACGGCCCTGATTACAATGCCTGTGGACAAAGATACACAATGCTTTATCAACACAAACCATTTAGAAATGGTTTTTCTTATCCTATTTTTGGTTCCATTAAGGTAAATCTGACTGTTATTGCACGGTCATAGTAAAATAGCTCTTGAACATTTCACTAGGGATGTCCCTATACCAATACTATTATTGGTGCTGATACAAGGCATTTCCATTAGTACTTGTACTCCTGAAAATGCCCTGATACAGTGCTGATACCAGCGTTTTCAATCGAGTTAGGCTGTCGTTTAGTACAAGTAATCCCCCCAAATCACTTCTAAA